CCATTCATAGATATCTACCCTACCCACGTTCATGGTATGTTCGTCGAGTCTAGGTTTCTTACATTCGCACGTATAGATATTTCCTTAGGATCTGCGAAGAACCTGTTGGCGCTAGCTGTCGCGCGGCTGCAATAGCAATGCTATCATTGATCTCCCGTCGCAAGATGCTATCTACCTACCTTTCGACGTGACGTATTTTTCTCAGGAGATCAGAATAGCGGAATAAGAACGAGCAGCAGGCCAGTTGAAATTATGCCAGCGGTGGCCAACGGAAATGTAGCAGAAAGAAGAAATATCTCTTTGGGAACCATGCCGTTCCCGCTGGATTCGCTTGTTTCCCTTCATTGTCCTCACAGTTGTTGTTATTGTCGCCGTTGTCATGGTGGTCTATGGCCGTTGTGCGTATGTCTGTGTTCCTCTTGATTCGTTCCTTGATTTTGTTCCATCGGGCTTATTATTTCTAGCATCGCCGTTGCCGCCGCCAGCAGACCCAAGTCGAAATCTCGACGAAACGCGCTGCCGTTAGTGTTGTTGAATCCTGCTTAAACGACGCACCGACCGACAATCAAGTGCCGACGGAGCAGGCATGTGGTGCGATGTGGCGGTAAAAAAAGAACGAAGGTCCACGATTTCGACTTCTTCTTCTTATTAGCCTATCTTGATCTGTTTTCGCCGGTCGGTGCTTGAAAACGACGGCTGACGCCATCAACGACTCTTCCTCGCTCTTTGCATTCCGTAGCATCTCAGTAAGGGTAAACGAGCGATGATGGGGCTGTGTGCCACTGACTGGGGCAACTCCTACTTAACTGTGGTCGCTATGCCATGCGTTGTTGTGCTAGTCGCAGCTTGCCTTGCTTGACTCCGATGCGCGGAAAATTCCGATTTTAGTGGATTTCATTCGAGATAAAGAAAATGTTCGGAAATGACGTTGAAGGAGGGAGAAAATCTGACTTATGGATACGCTTTAAGAAAAAGAGGGAACGTCATACAGACCCTTTCTGTTGGGGGACAGAAACAACGCGTCAACAGGTAATTACAACAGCAACCGCCTCGGTTTTATCAGGTGATGTTAACGGGTTATGAAATACAATAATATATAGAACGTGCGACGCTTGATTTCTGTTTAGACCGTTTTCCTTTCTCTGTGCAGGCCTGTGTCCGGGTCAAACTCTTTATCACCTCGTGTTACGTTCGTTGACTTACAGACGCTCACATATGCGTGTATATATACATTTGCTTCTAAGTTTACCATTGTCCATCTTCGTTGACGCAAGATATCTTGGTGATAAGAATCTATCGGATAGCTGAAGCTAGCTTCGGTAGAAAACCTTTTCCAGAAAGGACTTTGTGATTTGAGCAATAACTGTATCTAAATAGGGACAAAACGTGATTATATTGGTAAGGCTGCAAGTTACAGAAACGCCACCACGACACCGTTCACTGTATAGCAAAGATTTAGTTACGCTTCAAGAGGGTGAACTGGCTTACCGAAGTCGACAACTATATCCTTCCGGAACTACAACTTCTCAATCTGGCGTGTCGCCTGGACCGCGCGCCGCGGTAAGCAACAGATGAATTTTCCAGAAGGCCTCGAAGTAAACAACTCATCGGATGTGGTACGTATCGTATACCCACCGGGCTAACCGATGCGGGGGCATGTAGTTGCGTTAGAAATAGCGATCATAACCCTCATAACGGCAGAACAAGACCGAGTCAACCGCCGTCCTGGTCCTGCGGGAGCTGACTACGACTGAAATCAGAGGCACCGTCGATTATAGACGGACACACTACTACCGCTACTAGGAAGCAGAGTTGAATCGCATGTACTGATTGAATAGGTGAAGGCCGAACTTACGCTATGGGGACCCTCAGACGGTGTGACGTCAGTAGAATACAGCGACTTCGTCTGATGTGCCCCGGGCCAGACTCTATCCGGAGGCCACGCCTAACAGGAACAGTCGGATATTTGGGCACGCCTTGTTTCTATATAGTCTATATTGTTCCGTGCTGGTCAGTAGCGTTACGCATTAGCCTATCCGGTGAACTTGTGACGTTTGCTGGGCGACCTGGAGATGACTAGCTGTGGGGTCAGCTAAATGTAACTCCCTAATATTTAGTTTTTTTCTGAAATATAATATGTCTGTTTGTTCAATTGATTCACACGTATAGTGAACGGATCACTTCTGTTCGTACATATCGTTCCTGCTATTTGTAAGAGAAGCATTAGCTGTCTCAATAGGACATCAACTGTAGCTTTCTACTGGACCTGCATATATGCACGCGTACATAGGTTTGGTACACTAAAAGTAACGGGGACAAGTATACCTGTGGCTGTCTTATATGGACGCTTGACACAAAACAGAAGCTAAGTGCCAGCGACTACACAGATTTATAAAGCAGCATAAAACGAAATAACTATCTGCACAATAGTTACATTTATCCCGTGTGATGATAGCTACGAAGTCGGTCAAAATGATGATGTTGATGAACGCTAGCAAAGGTGGTTGATGCCGATGGACTCGACAGCTTAGCAGGCCCCCCCATCCTCTAATGCTTGTTATTCCAAGAACAATGCATATATAGCGAATGACAAAACCAATACATATATGTGAGTTTTATTTATGTGGAACACTATGAACGTTAAATGTCACGGTGGCGTTTTATTACACAATCATGGTATTTTTAGATTAGTGTTTCCCTTTGGACTGGAGCAGGCCATCGGCCAAGGCCAGTTTATCTGATCTGTAGTGTCTCGAAAATAGTATAGATGGTGTTATGCTGACATACGTATACTATTGAATTACATACTAGACAAATCATACCTATCAACCCTACAACCAGTATCTACACGCGTTCTTCTGCGTGGTGATGTGGGAGTTAAGCACATACGGCAACTACTACCATCACACTAGAGCATCGTAATATTGTACGATATTATACAACTATGGGGTGCGCCGGATAAATGTGTTACGTAGACAAAGTTCTGCCGGTATTGCTTTGTTAGAGCATTCGGCAGTAGATCTACCGATGCATCGTATCCTGTCAGTAAACAACATACAAATATACTAGATAATGTCAACCTTATATAGGTCAGCATTCAACCGGTAGAGAAAATTTTTTGCTTGGATAAAAGGCGATCCGCTGAAGGCTGCGCTCTGTTTGGATTCGAACAATAAGTAATTTGCTTCAATAAGGAGACAGCGCGGAAAGTATTATTACCTGTACCTGTAATGTCGTCGCTTCTATTGGCTATCATACCTTATACTGTGTCAGTTTTTTGCTTCACTCCGTGCCTGAACAAGCCAATCTCTAAACACTATCCTACGTGTGAGCCATAGCACTTCAGACCGAATCGTAACTAGTAGTCGTCTATCAGCGGCGTGCTACTTGCGCAGAGTCACGTTGAATTGAATTTCTCAGCTGCGTCTCTAAAACCGGTTTGCGTCGTGTACGCCCTTAACATCGTAGTGTTCCAATGGCGTCAATGTCCACCCCGCGTCATCTGTTGTTTGTTAGGTGGGGACATTTGTTTTAGACGAGTTTGATTTGAGGAGGCCACAGGAAAGACGTCAGGTAACTCAGAGGGCGGGATAGGATAAAAAGTAGAGGTGAACGCGAATCTACAGAGAGCTAACTGGGCGTAATAATTGATACTGAATGAGCTGACCTTCATGAACTGTGCTGTCTTATAGTTTACTTACGCCGGTAATCAGTTGGCATGGGACAATTTGGCCCCAACATACTCCATAGCCGGGCGGTACCCACATCATACCGCTGTGGTGAAATGGGTTAATGTGTGATACACTGAAATCGACCCAATTAGCCCATTACTCTAATGAAGATTGCGTGTTCGCATTTTGAGACTACGAGATAATGCAATGCTATGGTAAACTATACATTAAAGGGAAGGGAAAGAGCTAAAAAATCGTGTATACTCGAAAATACCTTAATTAAGAAATGAATAAATGTCCCACAAGAAACTGATTCATAATTAACTTGTAATTCTTAACTAATAGGACTTGCCATAATAAACAGGACAAAGGTCACTGGCCACACGCATAAAAATTAGTTTGTCATTGTCCGTCAAGCATTCCAAAATATCCCTTGCCCTTGCTCGCCCCACAGCGCTAGGTCTTTCTTCTCACGTCAGCGTACGCTGGTATATCTGCACATACATATGCACATTGATAAAATTGCTTTGTACCTATCTGTTGCTTTATCTGTTCTTCAGCAGCAGAAATAACGATGAGAATTTGGTACAGTCTTCTTATTCACGGGCCGATGCCGGCGTCGCTGTTGTCTCTGCGACGATCGCAAGAGGTCGATCGAAAAGGGGATAGAAGACAGCATAAAGATACTGATTATCCTCAAAAGTACTGCACGTTACGTATTAGGCAGATGATCGTAGACAGATACTTTTGGCTGCATACAGACATAGCTGAGCCAGTCAAACAACGACAAGCAAAAATTCTGTATAATCCACATTCGTTACAAGTACAACGGATGGACGTATGCCCCTGTACTTTTGCAGGTGTGCATGTGTGTGTATGTGTGCCCATTGCATAGTAAAGAAGATTCATACTAATCCGAAACAGCTCGCCGAATAGTCGAATTCAATGGTGACACCGTCGAGTTTGCGATATCGCTGACTGAATCGCTTAATTAGAGCTTCGAGGCCACACAAAAGGGACGAGAATAGGACGATAAAGCGAGAAGGCCAGAAAAAGAAAGCGGGAAAAATAGATTTGTTGACTGGCTAAGTGCCACTCCTCTTTAGTCTAAACAGCAACAGACTATGTGAATATGAGGCTCTGCCTTAGGTTTGCCTGTTGCAAGCAACATCGTACCTATTTAATATCAGGATTTGTACCTGCCGTTTCCTGAACTAGCGAAAACAAATCAACTACAGTGAATATATAGCAAAGATAATCGAAAGCATATAGGAGAAATGAATGTAATCGATTTAGTGAAGCCACGTTAATCGAAGATTAGGCTATTACCTGTGAGTCTGTGTTGAAGCATTCTCGCTGTGCGGTCAGCTCGTGTTCCTGCGTGTGTTCCGAGGACGACGGGAACTACTCCTTGGCATCTGGTTGCAATGTTACGTTTTTTTGTACGTAATGTGAGCGCTTTGTGGGTCGGTTTAAGTTGAGGCCACCAGGACGCTGAAGTTACAGTTGGTCAGGTGACTTTCTGCTATGGGGAGAGCTACCACGAGTAAGTGAACTGGTAATCGGCATTTCTATAAGCAAGCAACCAGGCGGGCGTCGGGGCATATTGTATAGGCGAGGCCTGTGCCGTATGCTGGCTTTCTGCAGCTGCGGTTGTCGACGTTGCTTAATGCTGCCCCGCGGGGCATCGGCGTTTTGAAATTGGGAGAAAACAGAGGCCGACATAAAGAAACAAAATCAGATATGAGAGAGCACACGAAAGTAAGCGAAAATCTATAGATAAAAAAAAATCTGCAGAAACCTGCCCCGAAAACAACAGAGACAAGAGCGGCAGCTCAACAAATCATTAGTGAGAAAAAAGATAAACGTGTCTTACATTCGAATTCGTAACTCCGCCGGCTCGCAATTCGAACACAAAACAGAAGATCGCGTTGCTCAAAGACGCGCTTACGAAGGCTAGTGGCGAATGCGTCTAAGAGTCGAAAATATCCGGGCCCAACTTAATGCGGCCTACTATTCATCAATGCTACTTCAACTGCGTACTAATACTGGTACTTCTGTTAGACATACGAAGGTTAGGTAAAAGTCGTTGGAGATCAAGGACTTGCGGGGCCAAAGCAGAACGGTGCAAGAAAATAGCCGATGTTCTTGTTTATTCCCTCTGGAAGATCTGCTTCCACCGCGCGGTTCTGTGAGCTAACGAGGCAGGAGAACTCACAGAGCAAATGTCTCGCACAAGACTGATGGGAAAGGCTACGACTTAAATCGACTTGCAGCTCTATGGCGCAGTTGAGAACGGAAAGCATTTCAATTTAGCCACTCATGTCACCATCGCCCGAATAGCGCAAGGAAAGAGAAGACAGACGCCGGGTTTAAGTGCAGGGTTACACGCGCAGGCTTTGTTTGCTTGGAAACAAAGATCTCTGGAAAAAGCCGTGACTTAGGCAGCGGGATACGACTGGTCAATCTGCTTTTGTTTAGTGCTCACTTCGCCGTTGAATTGTATGAATAGAAGTTGGATTTTAGCCTTTTTGCGGTGGTTGGCCTGGAAATTGAAAGGAAACGCATTTTCTGAAAACTCTTAGTTTTCAGAAAATGTGTTTTCAAAAAGATAATGTAAATAAAAAGATACAGTTTACGCAGTTTCTTTTACGTTTTTCTATGTTTGTTCTATATA